ACACACACACACACACACCATTTGTTACCACATTCCTGTCATCTGCATGAATTAGGACCTGGCCTGTTCCTGCCCAGAGGTAACTGGCCAATAGGACTTGGTTGTGTCCAGTCCTCCTTTGAGGAGGCGGATGGAGCCCAGGAGATAATGCCCATCACCCAGATCTCAGGGCTCTTTGCCCACTGAGACCCAGAGAGAGGTTTTTGTCTGTCAGAGCCCAGCTGATACACTTAACTGTGACCCAATAAATGTTATTTTTTATAATTTTTATCCACTCTGGTTTATCCACAGGTTTCCAACTAAAGAATCGGGTTAACATTTTTCACCCTTTTCGTCTGAGTTGTGTTTCAGAAAGTCAGCGAGCGTCTTCAAACATAAAAAAAAAACACTGGAAGGCTGAAAACAGCCAGTTTTAAACTTAAACGACCAACTTCCTGTAATTCTGACTAAACTATTGGCATTTATTTATTCTTCTGCACACTATCATCACTTATTTTAGATATGTATACATATAGTTACATATGTATTTATTTATTTATATTTTTGTGTGAAATGTTGTGTATATACACAGTGGGGGAAATAAGTATTTGACCCCTTGCTAATTTTGCAGGTTTGCCCACTTACAAAGAATGCTTATTTTTCCTCATCAGATGGTTATCAATTTTTATAAATTCATATGATGTGATTTTCTGGAATTCTGTCTTTCACTGTTAGAATGTACATGTGATTAAAGTTATAGATCGTTGCATTCTTTGTAAGTGGGCAAACCTGCAAAATCAGCAAGGGGTCAAATACTTATTTCCCCCACTGTATATATATATATTTGTATAGATATGTATATATGTATATGCTGGTGTATTTCTGGAGCTGGTGACAAAAATAATGTCCCTCTGGGATTATTAAAGTATTTCTGATTCGGACTGAGGCGGAAAAAGCCCCGACAACAACTGCTGGAGAACAGGGAGGAGACCGGCAGGACGCGGTATTCTGCCGGACAGCTGCCGGCTCTTTCTGCCTGTGGGACATAAAGTCGAGTCATCCTCTTTTTCAGGGCCTGGACACGTGACAAAAAGCCATCTCTATAAACTCCATTTCACCATTTCAGCACTCGGAGGGGAAACACACAACGAAAAGGCCTCCACTGCGTTATCTCAAGCCATACATTTGTATTGTTTGTCACTATATGTCTCCTAAAATTTGTGTGCAGGTTTGAAATAAACTCTTGAACTGAACTGAACTGAACAGAATGGGCAGTTCACCGGTGACAAAAAAACATTTCTCTAAACTCCTGACACCATTTCTGGGCATTTTCTGTTGGGTTTGGTTTGAATCTAGAGCTGGAAGCTGAGGAAGAGGAGCCAGAGATGAAGAAAAAGAGGCGCCGCTTTGGAGAAAAATGAGGTTCAACTGAAGTTAAACGTCAATCCTTCAGAACTTAAACTGAAGGGGTTGGTTGGACTCCAAACTGCCCTTAGTGTGAGTGTGCGTGGTTGTTGGTCCTTGTGTGTCTCTGTGTGTCCCTGTGATGGACTGGGGACCGTCCAGGGGGACCCCGCCTCTCCCCATTGGCTACTGGGATAGGCTCCGCCCCCCCGGGACCCCATTAGGGAATAAGGGGTAATAATAATGGATGGATGGATATCTGGTTGGCCGAGGGAGTTTTCAGCCCTCCGTAGATCCTTTTGGAATGGAGACAAATGTCTCCCACAAGATACCACAAGGATAAAAACAAAGACCCCAAAATTTAACTGAATTTCGACAGGTTAGTGTCTTTGGTTTCAAACTGACCTGTTACTGATGTTATGCTGGTCGGTGGCCCACATTAATGACCCTAAACCTAACCCTAACCCTAACCCTAACATCCACTATTTTAACATAATATTATGTATAGAGTTTAATTCAGTGGTCAATTATTATTAGCCATAAGCAGCAGCTAGCAATTCAAGGCTAACGTCATGTTAAATAAATAAATAAATAAATTGTATCCGGATACAACGTTTAAGTATGACAACCGTACCCCGTTGCAAATAAGCCGTGCAGAAAAAGGATGGATGGAGTTCATAGTGTTTACCGAAATGTCAAGTTAAATGTTAAAGAAACTACCTTATTTTTTATTTACAATCTGTAGCCAAAAAACAACAATTTCAGTTGCAAAATGACGTCAATTGAAACCCAGATTTGTCTCCTGTGTGAGATATCGGAGGACTCCAGGAGGGGGCGCTCCCCATGACTCATCTTCAGTCTCCTCTCCACATTTCCTGAATGCATCGTTTAGAAAAAAACAAAAAGGATGCTGATCTCTTATCTAAGCATTCCTGTGACAGCGTTAGGCCCCGGTCGAACCGGTTTATTTAGCTTTGGCAGCACTTAAAGTGACTCAGGCCTGAGGCTGCTATCTCTCTCAGGGAACAGGACGGTTCGGACAAACTCAGAAAAACGCCATTTCCAAATACGACGGAGAGAAGACGAGCTGTTTTAGCGTAAACCAGTCTGGGTCTATTCCAGAGTCTCTACCCACACAAGGACATCAGAAAGGGAGATTCTGAGAGATGAGACGGTAAAAGACGGAGTAAAAAGTAAAGACAAAGTCAAAAAATGCTCCAGAGACGAGCTTCTAGAGTTTCTAAGACAGTTTCTAAAACAGTTTTTAAGTCAGTTCTAGAGATCCTACAAATGAGATACGAATGGAAAGTTCCTCTAGGAAGCTCCTTTGGTGAAACTGAACCTTATGGTTAGCATAAGACAAAGCAAAGTACAATAAAGACAACTAGCTCTGACTCTACTTTCTTTAAAAGCTGTTTTTCAATCTCATTTTCCTTCCCAAAGTTCCTCCTGTGGACACCAACCATCGTAGATCCACAGGCCTCAAACATTTGAGACATGCGGAAATTATTTAAAAAAGTTTTTTTAAGGGGGATTTACCAAACTTATTATTGTTTTCCTGCTAAGAGCTAAAGGGGAAATGTTTAGGACAGTATTGTAGGTACTGAGCCACAGAGTTCTGGTTTTAGCATAATGGTATTTGTGTTAGCATGTATCTTTATATAAGTATTATTTAGCAAGTATATCTTTGGCATTTCTATGGTTTTTTTTCTTTGTACTGTCCCTTCTGGTATGAATATCGTATTCTATGTTCAGGTATTCAGGAGTAATTTGGATTTTATCGGGAAAATAATCCCTGTTTGAGGAATTCTGTGTTCAAGATCTGATATTTGTGTTCGTGGTTGGTTTTTCTAAGATCAATACATTGACCGAAGACACATCAGAAGGAAAGGATGTGAGCAGGAAGTCCTGAGTCAGTCACTTCTGGTGGCTAACGTCAAACCCCAGAGAAACAGCCGGTGGCCCAAATCCAAAGAACGAGGAAAAGATTCGATACGGGATACCAGATATGACTCATCCAGCATCTTTCCGAGATGTGTGGCGCTATATAGCGCTGTGAGACAACTGTTGCTGTGATGTGGCGCTATATAAATAAAATTGAATTGAATTGAATTCATTTTAATTTTGTAATGTCATTGTCTGAACGTGTGTTTGGACTGATTTTGTATTTTGTGATTTTGTGTTGTTTGATTTTCCTGCCTCAGGACGACAGATGTAAACTAGCAACTATGCTATAATCTGGCTCATTTACAATCTGTATGACATTGTTCATTAATGTGCACTGTCCTGATTAAATAAATAAATAAATAAATAAATGTGGGATGGGAACCAGGAGGCCCGGTTCAGGTGTTGGTGTTGTCTGTTTTGAGGCTACAGATGAGGAGCATCTTTCACCTCCAGAGAACATCAGATTGTGCCGGATTTCTCAAATGATTCAAAGCAAAGGGGCCAGGGAAGATGGAGCTCCCTGGTGTTATTGTCCACAATGGGTTCTGGGTTGGAGTCCCCGGGGGAACCAGGACCAGAGGGTTCTGGGTTGGAGTCCCCGGGGGAACCAGGACCAGAGGGTTCTGGGTTGGAGTCCCGGGGGAACCAGGACCAGAGGGTTCTGGGTTGGAGTCCCCGGGGGAACCAGGACCTTTCTGGGTGGAGTCTGCATGTTCTCCTGTGTCTGTGGGTTCTCTCCGGGTTCTCCGGCTTCCTCCCACCCTCCAAAAACCTGCATGTTAGGTTGGTTGGACATTCCAAAATGGCCCCTAGGCGTGAATGTGATTGGTTGTTTGTCATTGTAACTTTTTAAAACAATTTATGGATGTGTGGCCACCCACATTTCTGCTTATTTGACCTGTGTATCTGAACCAGGACCGGCTTGTAAAGGCTTCTTGTAAACAGCTTCTGGTCGATTTTCTTGCTGGATCTTTTATTTGACTCGGACCATCTAAACCCCCGGCTCAGATGTGCATCAATTCTGCCCTTTGGCCCGGTAACTGGACAGAAACCGCCTTAAACAGGCAGGGCTCCAGTTTCATCACAGCCAATAGGACGCTTCCCAGCATCACACACAGCTGTGGGACAAAAACTAAGTCCTGCTCTCTTTGGGGACGTTGATCCCAAAAACGAGGGTTAGGGTTTTTGGACGGTGGGAGGACAAGGACAAGGCTAATGCTCAAACGAGATGAGGGTTACTTACCAAAATAAAACAGGAAGTGACCAGACCACATGGACACAGGACAAAAAAATCCCCAGCTAAATAACACCATTGTGACATCTGTCATATTTTCTATCAAAAATGAACGAGCCCATGGTCGTCATAATCTGAGTTTTTGCAGATTTGGGTTCATTCTTTGGTCCGGCTCGGTTTTATTTATTCATTGCTGGTTGGTAACTCTTGTTTTTGGTCTTTAGCAGGACATTGAATCTTTACTTTCTTCATTAAAGACATGTTGGTTTCTGTGGGGTATTTTCGAAAGTCTCAACTAAATTCCAGGATCCAAAAGAAATAGATGTCACATTTTGTATTTTTATTTAAAAACAAAAGCGATAACAAAAACGAATACGAATGAAAACATGCCTCCTAAACTTTCATAAATCTAAATATAAGACTCCACATGGTAACAGCATGTGTACGGCACGATTAAAAAACCTTATTATATTAATTAATATAAATAATCCTTAAAAAGGTCCTGCAGATTGTGCCGTCACTTTGGGTAAAATTTATTTATAATATATATATAAATAATTTACTGGATACACGTGTTTCTCTTGAGATAATAAATAAATATATAATGATAAATATCTAATGACACGTCATCAGGTCTGATGTTGAGTTCCTTTTATTATAATCAGTAAGTTGAATAATTAGTCAACTTTTAAACAAAAAAATTGTACAACCTGTCAAACCAGATAATGAATATTATCCAGTTTTTTAAAAACATTTTCAAGAATATCATTTTGATTTAGAATAACTTTAAGTGCTTCATTTACAATATTTTATACACTGTTTGTTTTTTTTTCCAGCCACAATCTGTTACTAGGATGGGTTCTGTTTTGTTTTTTTTGCTTCGATAACTTAACATAATACAGGAAAATATTGAGACTAATAATGGATGAAAACCCCATCCCGAGTTGTAATCTCTTTTTAGAACGGATGACGAGTTCAGTCCAAGTTCTCTTTTCCGAAAACAGACGTCAGAGGAATGTAAATAAACGAAAAGACAAGGGGAAAAAAAAAAATCCTGTTTTCCATTCAGAACCATTGACGATCAGAAGAAGTTGTTTCTCCTTCTGTGTTGATAATTGATGCACTGAGTCCAGTTTCTCCTTCTGGAGTCACATAATCCCGAGGTTACCGACCCTGCGACTGCATAACGTCCACCGTTCCTCTGATTGAGTTACAAACCGTGATATGAGTGGATCTTCTTACTTTTCGGCCACATGTCCCCCTTTCTGAAAGCTATTGACCAAGAAGACCTACGGGGAGGGAACAGACTCACAGGGCTCGGTGCTTTATCACCAGATGTGATCTCTGAACTTCAATATTGATTGGGTTAAGGTTAGACTTACACTGTTCCTCTGTCCGTCTTCCTTTTTATTTCTCTCTCTCTCTCCTTTTCCATCTGTCTCTCCACACAGACAAACACGTTTTCTTCTGCTTGTATTAAGTTCTTCTTGTCTTCGTCTGTGTTAGTCATGCTTTTTGTTTTCTTTGGGTCAGACAATAAACAGAAGTTTTCTTCTGAAATACACAATTTTTTCATGGTTAATAGATGATCCTTTGACATTATTTAGCCCTAAACTATAGTATAGTTAGCTTTATAGGACAGGTAGTCGTGGGACAAATGGGGTTCCACACTGTTAAAAATAAAAGGCTCATGGTACAAAAAACATGAGGGGAAATGGTGCAAATAAAGTGTGGCACACTGAGGAGAAGAAACACGAGTGGACAGAAGTTCAGGAGCTTTATTTATTAAAAGGTGCCTCAAAATGCAAAGGAAAATGCAGCAACACTGACATCTGGAGACCGTCCCTTGGTTTTGCAGACAGAAAACCGGTTGGATCCCCAAAGAAAAATGGCGTCACGCTGGAAACCTGACAGATCTGTAAAATAAATAAAGTTATGATCTGTAAAATAGCAGAAACATGTCACAAATAAAGCAAACCTCAAAGAATTCACAAAATACTATGTGTTATTGTACTTCTTTCTATCTAAAAGTGATACAATTCGGCTTCAAGTAGCCAAGAAAAGTAGCATTGTACCACTAGTTATCAATTCAACTCAATTAGATTTATATAACAATTCCTACCTTTGAAATCCCCAAATTGGGATTCCCGTCTTGGAAACGTAAAGATCTGGGAGACAGAACTGAAGCATCGATGAATTTGGGCTCTGTCTGAGAGACAGTTAGCAGCTAAATAACAGAGTAGTGACCATCCCAGGATTAAGACGACTCCATTCAACAGATGGTTTCTAAATATAAACGTGAGCTAAGAAAAGACAGAACAAACCGGTTGTATTCATATTCAACATTTTAACCTTAGGTTGAGGTAGAGCAACTTTTTACCTCTTTAGTTTACATTAAAATCACATTTATGTATGTAAATTATGTTAGCTTTTTATGTTTATTTTTACCTGTACAGCACTTTGGCAACTTCGGTTATTTAAAATGTGCTCTATAAATCAAATTTGATTTGATTTGATTTGATTTGATCTCTGTCTACAGACCATCTGCTGACACCTGATTTATAAATCTGATGTTTTTCCCCTTGTTCTGATATGCTTTTTCTTTTTCTTTTTTTTTTTTTACCATGAATACATTTTTACTTTGCTCTTATTAACAGCAAAATATCTAAAAAAATCTCTCCTCCTTGAAGCTATGCATGAATTATACCAGCAGATGTCACCAGAAAACAGCATTTCAAAAATTCCTCCCACTGTTTTTTTCTTCTCTGCTTGAGGAGAACAAAACAATTTGATTTAATTTAACAATTCGCTCAATAAAATGTCAAAATAACCTAAATTTGTGGGATCCTATTGTATAGTTTAATCATTTATGTCACCAGAAAGTTTAAAGTACATATAAAAAGCCTCTGAAAATTGGAAAAGGAGTCGGTTTAGTATAGGAACATTTAAACTTTATTAGCAACCACCTGTTTTCACCTTAGCTCTTTCTGTTTAATATACTTAATTAGTAATCATTACAATGGGAGAAAACTGGATGTTTAGTTTAGATAATCCTCTATAAGACTAATAAGACTATAAAATGAAGTAGCTAGTTTAATTTAATGTAGATTATGGTCATAGATAACTCAGAGATAACTCCCTGACTCATTTGAGTCATTCTAAAAAGAAAGAAAAACACAGCTATGAACTTAGAATGAGGAAATGGAGGAACATAAACGGCCTCTTTACTGGCACTGAGATATAATTAAACATCAAGAAATCCCAAGAAGACTTAATCAGTCTTATAAAGAGTTTTGTATTAATATCAAGTTGATTTCT